ATACAAATAACCACATTGGGGCGCCTAGGTGTCTCAGTCGTTAAGCGTCTGCCTTTGGCTCAAGTCATGATCCCTGGGTCCTGGGATCCAGCCCCGCATCGGGCTCCCTGCTCGGCGGGAAGCCTGCTTCTCCCTCTCCCACTCCCCCTGCTTGTGTTCGCTCTCTCGCTGTGCCTCTCTCTGTCAAACAAATAAATAAAATATTTAAAAAAAAAATTTTTTTTTTAAAAAAAAGGGGTGGTGAAAGGCTATGTGCTAATTTTTACAGATAGCATTGATAATGAGTATTTTGAAGGAAAGTTTGAATAAATAAATGCTTGGTTGATTATCCCAGTTGAATGTATCATGTCATTATTCCATGAATATCTCTTGCATTTCGTAGAAATTAATTTTCAGGCTTCAAATGTTAAGCTAGCCTGAAATTCAAAATAGAAAATTAAAAGAGAGGGGAAAACATTAAATGATTCACATAGAAAAAGGCCATTTGATATTTTCTAATGAAAATAACTAAGGAACTGCAAGAGTTGAAAATTCATAAATACAAGGTATACATATGGGAATCTGTGTAAGAGTGAGAGGAATTCTAAAATATAAAAGTCACATAGTAATAAAAAAAATGCATATTCAAAATATTTGTAGGGCAGCTAACAAGTACTTGGAACTATCTTAGCCACTGAGGATAGAGCAGTGAGTAAGACCTAAATGGCCCTATCTTCACTGCATTTACTATTAGAGGAATTAGGCATTTTAAAAATGAACCCATCATTTAATGACTTACGACACAAGTATAAAGGAGAAAGGGGAGGAACAGGAGACTTTGATTCAGTTTTGGTGCTGGTGATTTTTTCCTGAGGAAATAACCTTTGATTGAGATCTGCTGGGTGGAAATGGTGTGGGGGGTGGGTGGGGAGAACAAGTGGGAGAGGAGAGTAAGTGAAGTGATAAAGGGACAATCAGTCACACCACTGTGACTCTATAAAGGACTTCGGTCTTTATTCCAAGAGCACTGGGAAGTCATTAAAGAATTTTAACCAAAACAGTGGCAAGATCAGATCTGCTTTTTGAAGAGATGACTTGGGCCTCTGTAGGACTAGATTAGGTTTAAAACATTGTGAATCAGGGTGCCTGGATGGCTCAGATGGTTAAGCATCTGCCTTGGGCTCAGGTCATGATCCCGGGGTCCTGGGACCGAGCCCCTTGCCTGCTGCTCCCTCTCCCTCTGCCTCTCCCCCTGCTCATGCTCTCTCTCTCTGTATCTGTGTCTCAAATGAATAAATAAAAAAATCTTTAAAACATTGTGAATCTTCAAAGGATATGAATTTCAAAGACTTTCTTGTACTCCTCTTTCTAGGATATCTCCGGTTTATTCATTTTCCACTTTAAGAGAGGTTGAAGATCTGTGCGCTGTAAGAAAACACTGATATATGTAACATACTGTTGAGAAGAAAAAAAAGTTCAGGAGTATATCAAAATTAAGCAGTTTAACTAAGGCCCTATATGTATTACATAATATTTTAAAAGCTAAACAAACTTTTAATAGTACCTACTGCAAAGAAATAATAGGAATTTACCCTCTTAACTATTTTCAAGTTTACAATAATTGCTCTGCTGTGCATTAGATCCTCAGAACTTAGAACTTACTCATCTTATAACTGAAAGTTTGTACCCTTTGACCAATATTTCCCCTTGTTTGTCCCCCATCTCCCAATCTCTGGCAACCACTCCTTTATTACTCTCTGGTTTGATTAGTTTGACTTTTTAAAATTCCTCATACAAGTGCTATCCTCTGGAATTTGTCTTTCTGTATCTAGCTTATTGGAGTTAGCAGTGTCCTCCAGGTTCATCTATGTTGTTGTAAATGGAAGAATTTCTTTCTCTTTTATGGCTGAATAATATACCATTTTATGTATGTGTATATATACAAGATTTTCTTTATTAATCTGTCATTAGACATTTAGTTTGTTTCCATAACTTGGCTATTGTAAATACTGCTGCAATGAACATGGACTGTAGATACCTCTTGGAGATACTGATTTTGCTCCTTTTGGATATATACCCAGAAGTGGGTTTTGTTAAATCCTATGGTAGTTCTATTTTTAATTCTTTGAGGTAACTTTATACTGTTTTTCACACTGGATGCACCAGTTTATATTCCTACCAGCAGCATACAAAGATTCTCTTTTATCCACATCTTTGCCAACACTTGTTATCAACATATTATTTTCATAATTTAAGTAATTGCTTGATACTTAGCACTGAATATTCATTAATAGAATAAAATTCATTGACTTGCTTATCTTTAAAATTTCCTTTGTATTTTAATCATAAAATTACCATTTATTGACATAATTTTAAAGTGACAGGATAATCTTCATGTCACATTAGAAAAATAGAATTGTTCTGTAAATATAATTTTGTCTTCAATTTCTGCTAATATGTAACATTTCTGCTTAATAACTTAATCCCAAGTTAAATTTAGAAAATGTTTTTTAGCTCTTGATTATAATATCCAGTACCTAGGTCATTTCTAAAACATATGTGTGGTAAAGGAATTTATTATTCTAATTCAGATGAGTAACAAATTCCAATATCATTCATTAATTTCAAAATACCTAGTTTTTGAAGAAATAATTTCTGGAGTTACTACATGAAACCTATCTTAATGTTGAGGTAATGATGTGGACCATGCACTTGTACATATAAAGCATAAATTTTCTAAAAAACCATTACTGTCATTCCTCTGTACCTAGAATGGGATGTTTCTGACCAAAGAAACCTAACTGGGGGGCGGGCAACAGTATGAGCCAGAAAACAGAATTGTAACATAGCTGCTGATGCAAACAAGCATTTTTTCTGGCCACTGAGGTTATTGAAGTAAAAGTTCATGCCAGTTCTCCACTCCCAAAGAATAATATAGCAATATCAATTCCTGGGAGCCATGCTGAGAAGAGTAACAGATTTTTTTTTTTTATCTTAATCTACCTAGTACCATTGATATCTGAAAGTTGCACAGTTCCAAAATTTTACCCAAAGAAAGGTCCTTCTGCACTTGAGATAATTGCAAATAATTTGTGACAAAGCAGCACAGGAAAAATGAAAGGAAAATGAAGAGATGAGATGCCTCACACTGATTTTGTTTTTAAAGTCTACTGTTTCCAGAAGTTGAGGTTCTGTTTTTTTGCTCTTTGTCCCAGAAGTCAAGGTTTCTCTTACCTCGGCCTAAAGAAGACCTCAGCCAGCCAGCCAGTTCCTTCTTTACCTGAGCAATGTGATACATAGAGGATGTGTCTGTCAAGTTGTTGGGTTGGATTTCTGCCCCAAATCCCTGGTCTATTCTTATGACCATGAACTAAGTGAGATCAAAGACTACTCCTGCCCCAGACTTTATCCGTTTTTCTTAATGTTTAAGGGTCCAATCTGGAACCAGGCAGAGTCCTATTTAGACACCTTTTGTTTCCCTATTCTTACAATCTTCAGCCCTTACTTCCATTTTGTCCTTTATAGGAAAATGGTCTTTGCACATAAAAGAGGAGAGAACGAGAGAGATTTTCCCATATCCATTTGTAGTACTAACCTGGGTAAATTTGAACTTTTCTTGCCAGAACCACCTTTAGACCAAGCTTAAAATGAGTCCTTCTATCAGTTTGAAATCTATAGCTCAGAACACTAATTACATTTATAAAAAGGATGCATATAAACTCTGACATCAAGAGTTTAATGGATTTTTTTTTTTTTAGTGAAGTTTTTTTGAGGCAAATGGAGAGGAGAATTCTATCACATGCCACATTCAATACTTCCTAAAATTTCTTTTCAGTGGTAACTGCTCTGTCCTGAACTTTCTGGAAGCAAGGGTAGCTAGACAGTTGTCAGGTACCTTGTAGATCTCCTGTCTCTCTCTCAATCCCTTTTGTCACAGCTTCTGTGTCAGTTTCTTACACCTTTCAGACTTTCAAAATATCCTCAAGTTTTGTACCCCAGGGCTGCAAAGGAAAACCCAGACCTATTGAAATCACTGCAGCAGAATAATTTTCTTCCATCAGACACACTCCCAAGAGTTAGAGCAAGAACAATGCAAGTGAATAATAGTTTGCTGGATGAGAGATACTGTGTTAAGTACCTTTACACATGGCACTTAGTGAATAGTAACTATGAATTTTAAACAAGCATCTATTCTTTCCCCATTTACCTATTTTCTTCTACTAAACACACATTTTTAGGCATTCTATGTGTATCATAGTGAGCAACATGCAGGAAAAAGGCAATTCTAGTGGACTAGTGAGGCAGAACAGGTTTCTATTTGAATACAGAAAATACTCAACCAACTCGAGGAGGTAAGGGAAAGAACTATAAGCTGACCCTTGGTAAATAAGTAAAAATTATCCAGATGAAGACCAGAGAGAAATTGAACAAGTGTTTAGAAGAGTGTTGCAAAGTGAGAAAAATTGTTTGAAAACATGGTGTTAAGGGGATAATATCCTCAAAACACAGGGCAGTAGAGGAATACATAATAGTAATGAGATGGGCACATAGAAAGCCAATGAGAGAGACATTGAGGGAAGGGGGAAATGATAAAATGTCTTTTATATTGATGACTTTGGCTTTTAGCCAAAAGTCAGTAGAACATTAATTTAGGTTTTAAATTCAAGGATGATGTAATCAGATGCAATAAAGTGAAAGGGCATTAACTTCTGGGTTAGGATATCTTGCAAAAGGAACAAGTGGAGGAACAAATTCTTTTTAGAATGTTCTGGAAAAGTTCAGGAATAAGACAGTGGTTACCTGGACTGCAGAATCAGAAATGTAGTAGAAAAGAATGAATAGACTAGAGAGATTTTGAGGAGATGCAGGTAAGCTAAATTGGATAGACTCCTAAGTACTCTTTTTCCAGGTATCGGTAATTGGATAAGGACTTACTCACAAGTTTCAATTTTAACCGCTTGGAATCTTTTTTTTTTCTTTTTAACTCACTTTTCATTTTACCAAAACAATGGATTTACCAGATCTCCCCATTCAGTCTGGAAACGTTCGGACTCCTATCCACTGTGACTTGAACGTGAGAGTTGGAAGAGTACCTCTCGTTTCTTCCTACCCACTTCTTGAACGCCGCCCTGACCTTGTAGGTCATGTGTGCTGACACCAGAAGTGACTAGGTTCGTGGAAATGTGTAAACTTAAAGGTGGAAGAAGAAAGACTGAAGAGCAGTTTTTCCATTAAAACTAAAACTCCAGTTTTGGATCAGTTTAGAAAAGGTAAAGTACTAAAATTTTGTTGAACAAGATATGGATTGGAAAAACAATTAGTAAACATCCAAGAAGAACTCCCACTTATATTAAAGTGTTTTAATTTGTGCTGTACTTGAAAGAAAATAAAATTAGAAAAAGTAAATGTGTTGTGGATGTGGTTTATGTAAAGGGAACTCAGTGAAAATACTCGCAAAGAGAAAAGCTTGACCTTACTTTAAGGGACTAATAAACATACTCTCATGCGTTTAAAATGAAACTGAAAAGAACAAGTTATATAATTCCCCGCTTTAACATTTTGATTAACTCTAAGGGCAGTTTCAGATAGCAATAGATTAGAAGATTTTTATTGTATTTTAAAAGTTTCTGTTTGGTGATTACATTTCTCTCATCACATCTCAGTCTATGTATAATATGAAGAAGGCAATGATCAGTAAGATATTTTAACATGAAACCATGGAAAATCAAAATGAGAATGGTAACTATGTACTCAGAAAAACACTGACCATACCACCACCTTTCCATCCAGCCAATGCCTGAGGTTTTACTTTTAAATATCTACAAGCTAATTACATAGAAAAAAAAAACACATTGATTTTCTTATAAAGTAGGAGGGAAGGTAATACACAAGAATGGGGTATATGCAGTTAATTATGCTTTCCTTAACATAGCATTTCCTTTAGCTTTTAGCATTAATCAAAATCCTATTTTGTACATTTATGTAGCTTTCAGTAAAATGACATTTTAGGCATGGAATGACAGCTACCTAAGTGTTTATATAAGCTATTTTTTACCTAAATAGCTTTCTGTAAAAAAATATATATAATAAAAGACATACTATGAGTTTTGAATATCTATTAATCTAATGTATGAGCATTGAAGCTCTATTTAATAGATTCAAATTAATGTTACTATCTCAAATGCACAAGGAATTTATATTTTTCCAAGAATAGTATTGCATTTGATAGAGTAATTGAAGATTCTTCTAGTAGAAAGTGTTACATATATATGTATAAATCAGTTTTGGAAAAAATTTTCTGGATAAGGAAAGGGGTTCAAGATCAAATTTTGGTATTGAACTAAGGTTACTTGTAATTACCTCAACTTTTATATATGATGGTTTTCTCTTAATCACTCATAAATTAATCACATTTCTACATGTTAAATGGTATACCATATTCTCCTTACTGTAGTAATAAATTGCAATCTTTTGGGTGTGGCTGATACTGTTTATTCTATAAGCTATAGAAAATTCCATATCAAATCATAGTTTGAGAAATTATATTCATAAGCTTTCCTACTTCTAAATGTTAAATATATCAAAGTTTAGCCAAAGATAGTTAATGTGCAGTTGTCCAGAGCTTTCTCCAACGACCAAGGGTGTAGGGGCAGGATTCTTGAGATAAAAGCCATTATAGTGATAGTGTGTCTGGGACAACAGAACTTTTAGTGTCCAGGGGCTGTAGGCAGCAAGGGACAGTTCGTGTGATCTATCTGGAATGCTCTTAGAAGGGTAGGAGGTGGTGGGGTGAGGAAAAGGATCCAACATAATGGTCAAGAAAGAGGTCTTTGGGTAAAGTGACGGATTTGGATGGTGGGAAATAGAAAATAGAATTTACTCTTCATGTGTTGTTGCATTTACCCTTTATACATTTGAAAGAGGTGCTGGTTAACATTTTAGTTGGACCTTGCTCCTCTAATTACTACAGCAGTCTGGAAGATCATGTGGTATAAGATTTTGAAGTATTTCCAGTGTAATCAATTTCAATTCTGGATAATGGAATTTATTAGATAAAATATATTCCAGAAGTTAAGAGACCATCAAACCTACATTAATCACGGTCTGAAGACTAAGTGAAGAAAATCTTAATATCAATTCCTAATTTCCCTGGTAGAAGGTTTTCATATTAGACAACATAACCATACCTATCATGGAAGGACTTAAGTGTCATTGTGCTGATTTTTTTTTTTAAATGTTTAAGGTATCTTTACCTTAATGTACCTAAGGTACATTTTCTGTTTATATTTTGTTACTGATTGTGAATCGGATGACTTGCTTTGGGTGCCTTCTGTGGTATGCTAGAAAATGTTTAATAATTGACTTGCATCACTCTCATGCACACACACCGAAACCTGCATTGTACTATTTTCCAACTTCTGTGTTGTAAATACGAACAGATTATTTCCAGTCTCCGACATGACATCACTAAACGTGGAGTTTTTTATTTTTATAGTATTTCTATCACACAGGCTTAAATAACCTCAAGAGCATAGATAATAGTAAAATAGTAGGAAGTTGTGGGTTTTGAATGTTTATTATCTTTGGTTTTACTGTAAGTTAGTTATAAATTAAAATAATTTTAAAACTTAAAATTTTTAAAATGTGTGTTGAACCACTTGCTCCCCAAATTCCTGATAATTGCCAGCACCTGTCTTAAAAGAGAATTTTTTTTTTAGATTTACTTATTAGAGAGAGAGTTGGGGGGAGGTGCAGAGGGAGAGGGAGAGAAGCAGACTCCCTGCTGAGCAGGGAGAATGAAGCTGGCTTGATCTCACAATCCTGAGATCATGACCTGAGCCAAAATCAAGAGTCAGACACCGAAGCCCGATTGAACCACCCAGGGGCCCAAAGGTAATCTTTATAGAACAGAAATACTGTCTCAATTTAGTTCAGGATACATGCCTCCGTACCATCTTAACAGGCATTAATCAGTTAGGTTTTCTGTCAGTTAATGTTATAAAGTTAGCCATTGCCTTTTATGTTTTCCCATAGAATTGCAGATATATTTTAATTGTGGAAATTTTCACAAGGTACTGCAATTTTTTGTGGGTCCCCACTAATCTCAAGTCTTGGAAAGGAGGGTAGATATGCTCTAGCATTTTTGTTTCATTGTATATGTCATTGTTACATTCCACATCCCCGAGAACAATTGCAGCTACTGGTCCAAAGGATATTTTCCGTGAATGTTGCTTTTTGGTTGGGTGAGTGAATAAAAGATGCAGGAACTTACTTAAGAACACCTCATGTATTTAAGGACCATATATTTAAATGGAAACATTATTAGCAAAGTCCTCTCCATTTGCTCTTTCAATTGGCTGAGAGGTGGGTGGAGACTGACACAGCAGGGGTATTGAACATCCAAGTTCCTTTCAATAGATTACAACTATCAAAGTGGAAATCCTCTTTTGCACTTGAGGAAACGGCAGTTTGAATGTTAATGCAGTTTATCAGGGTTATTTTCTCATTCTCTCAGAATCAGTATTAGTGAATTAAATATACATGTATTTTCACTAAGGTAGAATAGTTTTGGAAAAAAACATTAGGAATCTTAACTGTGATTTTTAGTATAATTTGGGACCAAAGTATTTTTCCCTCATGAGACTATATCTCTAAAGTTAAGAGGAATTTAGTTAGAAAAATATGAACTAAGATGGCAATACATATTTTATAAAGATTGTCTACCTCAATCTCCATCATGAAATCCTTCGGATATCTAAAGCACGGTCCATCTGTGTTATGTGCACTGATTGTCTGGAAGATCAGCACATCCTTAATATATTCCCCATAAAACTGAACTTTCAGGAGCTAACATTTTTATGACTACTCCAGTAATCATTGACTTAAGGAAAAGCTACTTTCTTAATACGTTAAAAGTAGCTGGCCCTTTTTGTGCTTTATCTGCCTAGTGGTAGGTATTTCCATACACTTACATCACATGAACTAAGCAGTACAATGCATCAACATTGTTACCATCATTTTTCATTGAGAATTTTCAAAAAGCTTAAAAATTCTTGCATCAGGTAAAACATAATTTGTAGTTTGGCAGGCTATGAAAACTAGTGCGTTGGCACTTCAAACATTATACGCATTACTCATGTTATTTATCATTGTTTTGGGTCTGTAGTCACAATAAACATCTGTAATTCCATTTACTCATTGAATCTCAATATTTTTTTCTAAGTATCATTACCACTATTAATAAACCATTTTATTTCAAGGTAATTTATTGTTTTTCAACATAGTCTCCCATAGTTTAAGTTAGAAAAAAAAAATAAGCACAGGATATAACTTATAAATTAAACTTAGTACTATCTTTTGCTTTGGCTCTATAATTTCTTCCAAGAAATGCAAAGCCACATTAGTGTATGGAGTTGCATGCATTTTTGTGGTGAGTAATCTAAGAAACTTAAATTACTTATCAACTCAAATGTTATATTTGAGGGAAAGTTAAAATCTTGAAATCCCAACCACTGTCTTAAGTAAAGCATGATATAGGATTAAATGAATTGTATAAAGACCCTACTTTACTCTTTTGAAGAAAAACTAATTTCCACAGTGTATAAGATAATAACATGCAGGTGGTTTTCCTAGCTGCTCAACTTTTACCTTTTAATCTATTTTAGGTCATTTTCGCTTGTGATTTTTGGCTTTGCTTTATTTAAAAGGCCATATAAATAAAGTCATTCTTTTAGTATGCGATGTTCCTCATAAGTGTTTTATTAAGCTAACTAATGAGTTCCAGCTTGTCTTTTGCTGGATGCCTTATTTCTTAATGACCCTTGATAAGGGAAAATACACTTTTGTCTAAAATTTCTTTCTAATCAAAACTGCAACCTTCTCATCAAAACATAAAGCAAATGCCAAATCAGATTAACAACTAGAAAGACCGTAGACAGAAAATTAAGGCTCCCAAATGCCCGAACTTCATGTAATTGTTTTAAATATCTTGAAGCATAACATGATTTATGAAAACAAGACTGTTTTGAAGATCTTTTTAAATGTGGATTTTTAAAATCAGTGATCCACAAAAACACATAAACCAACATTCTTCTTGAATCCTTGACCCACTGATAATAAATCCTGGTATCTAATTAAATTTGAATGAATTATCTTGATAACAAAATACTGTTGGTTTTCTTTTTTGTACAGCATAGAATAGTATTGTTAGAAATCAC